CATCGACTCCAGCGACGACGCGGGCGACTTGTGGCCGAGCGCCGCCTCCGGCAACCGGGGCTCGCCCCGCCTCCCCAGGGAGCGTCGTGCCAAATTGCGCCACGCCTTCCCGGACTTCACGCCTCAGAAGTTTAAGGAGAAAACGTCCGGGCAGCTCCTCATCCTGGAGTCCAGCTTCCGCAAATGCGACACGCCCTCCGACGACGAGCTGATGCGCCTGCGGACACAGACCAAGCTGACGCGGCGCGAAGTGGACGCGTGGTTCAGCGACAGGCGTAAAGGGGTCGTTCCCAAGGGGGGAGGAGGAGGGGAGGCCGCGCCCCCCGCCTCCCCGCCGCCTGTGGGACGCAGGGTCCTGAAGAAAACTCCGGCGCAGCTCGAGATCCTGAAGAAAGCCTTTGTGCGCTCGCGTTGGCCTACGGCCCAAGAGTACGACGAGATGGCGCGGGACTGCGGCCTGCCTCGTAACTACGTGGTCAACTGGTTCGGGGACACGCGCTACGCCGCCAAGAACAGCAACCTCAAGTGGTTTGATCTCTACCACGGAGGCAAGGTGAGGACGCGGCCTCGCGCGCCCGCCCGCCTGCGCCATACCCACCCTTGTCTTGTGTTCCGCAGGTGGACGAGACCTCGCCGGATGGAGCCGCCGGGATGCCCAAGAAGTCCAGGAAGCGTTTTCGGGGTTGGTCGAGGAGGACGCGGCGGGCGTACGTCGGAAAACAGGACGTGCGTGCGCCTGGCAAGGTCTGTAAAGGCACCAAAGGGCACACTTTCCTTCAAATGATTGCGAAAAACGTGCTCTGGGGAGAGCCTCGATTTCAAACGAAAAAATGGTGTGTGTTTGTGCCCGCAGGCGAAGAACGGCAAGGCGTTCCTCAGGGCCTACTTTCTCCAGCAGCGGGTTCTGAGCGAGGACCACCTGGGCGACTTGGCGGCCAAGTCGGACATGAGCGAGCAGCAAATCAGGGAGTGGTTCTCCGAGGTGGGACGCCGGGCGGCGGAGGGGAGGGAGCCCTTCGGTGACCGCGACCAGGAAGCGGAACGGCAAGAGCAGCGAGCGGAAGAGCGAGGAGACGGGGAGGAGGCCGAGGAGGGTCAAGGGCGCCCGGAGGACGACGTCTTCCAACAAGCGTCTCCTGGCGGGAACCGATCCGGGTGTCCGACGTGAGCAAGCAATTTCTTTGCCGCTCGTCGGATCACGTCCGTTCAAACGGCACTTTCTTTGGAGAGGGTGCGCCGCTCCGGGTGGCGCCTCGGGCCGGGCGGGAACTCAAGATCAGTATTGCAAAAAGATGAGCTTCTGCATCCCGAGACGATCGGACGCCTCGGGGTGATGCACAAGTATTAAGACTCGCTGGCTCCACCAAGTGGCACCCCGAAGGCTCACGCAAGACTATTCGTGGGCAACGCTGCCACTGGACTTTCAACAACTCAACCATGACTGCAAATCGGCATTTTCGCTGCACCGCCGCGGGACCAAAGACGGCAACGACATCGCGCGTGACCGCCAACCGACACAGCAACAGTGGACGGTCCTTGGAAATGTGATGGATTTTTTTTTTTTTTACTCTTCAAAACCACAGGTGCTGGTTTTGAAGAGTAATAAAAGTCCAATTCTCGACATTCCCCAATCTGAAAATACTTGTGGCGCCATCTACTTTTCAGCCCAATGGCCCAGCCCAAGTGGCCGCTTCTTACCTGTGTGGCGCTTTTCCTCCCTCGTAGGCACAGACCCAACGGCGTTCCTGCGTCCGCACTCCTTTGGAAAAACCTGATAAAAATCAAGAATGTCAGGGAAAACATGATTTCCAGGATAGGAAGGCTGGCGGCCACGACCCTTTTCCAGCATAAGAGAGGAAAAAAAAAAAAACACTCTCGCCAAAGCCTGCCAGCTTTTCATTTTTTTTTCACTTCCCGTTTACTAAAGCCTTTCTCAGCACACCTATTTATTCTCCTCGTCGTTTGTTTGCAAGGAAAATTTGAAAAAGATTGCTGGGGTGGGGGAAAAACAAAACACATGGTGTTGCAATTTCCTTTTTTTCTAACTGTGGCCACGCCTCACTGAAAAAAAAAAACCTGCGGTTATTTTCCGTCTTTATGGCCACACAAAGGCGACACGCACCGCCGTATCCGAACCGCCACCCAAACGGTTGTCTGTCTCTACACGGATTCCCTCTATGAGGTGTCAGAGAGCGGCGCCTTTAGCCGCCGCACAGCTCGGCTCGCCGGCGTCCGTCAGGTCGTCCGCCTCCTGTTCCAATTTTGTCAGTTTCCCCCCTCGCGCAAGTGAGCTGGTGGTGGCCCGCGCGATGCGTTAAGGTAAGGCACAGGTGGCTCTGAAAATGCGCGAAACTCGGCGGGGACGAATGACGAGCGTATACCGCGTCAACACGTGGCGTCTGTCACATTGGCGATTGATGTATAGCGAGTCGGCATTAACCTGCATTAACTCGGCGAGCGTCTGACGAGCTTCAAAGCACCGTTTGAGTCTGTCACTTCCCACTAAGCGCTCGTCTTTTCCCGACGTTCGCCGAGCCAACTCCCGGAGGAGCCCGCACCGCGCGCGCCGCTGCCGGTGGGGCTCCGCCGGTCCCGCGGGCCGGCTCCTCCGGGATGACGGACGACCCGCTCGCGCTCTTGCGCACGCGTCCTCGACCGGCGCGCGCGCTCGAGAACGCCATCTCCAGGCTCGGCTTGACGGACCGCTGGCAAGTTCCCGGGGCCAAGCGGAGAAAAGGCGGCGGGACAATTCGCGTTCGCCGAGACGCCTTTCGACAGCGAGTTCAAACGGCGCCCGATGAAAGCGATGCGCCCACCGGTCGAGAGCCGCCGTCCTGACAGGAAGCCTGAGCACAGAAACGGCGACCGGCCTCGCGGGAACGTCGAGCGCGACTCTCGCTTCAAAGGCAGACACATCAAGTCGGCGTCATCAAAGCGCTCTCGTGACAAACTCGTCAGCCTGAACTTGTCTGCCGGGAACAAAGTCACCTTCAACTTTTTTCGCCTTTGATCGCCAATCCGGTGTTTTGCCTTTGCGTCTCCTTTTTATTCCCCAACTCCGCTCGCCGCCTTTTTGCCTGAAAGACAACAAAAGTTGTTAGCCAGATGCTAACATGCTAGCAGCCATGCATGTGATCAACGAGGTCAACGATTGATCAAAGGGGTCTCGACGCACGCATGCGAGTAAAGACGGCGGGGCCCGACCGATGTAGATTCTTGGAGACAAAGCAGGTTCGCGTATTTGGTAGGAAAAAAAAATGTCCACTCACCGATTCAACGAATAAAACATTTTGGGATCCCTTTGACGCTTCCAAGCACAAAGTGGGCCAGCTCTTCCGCCGTTGTCCTCTTAAGTATTTGTCGAACTGAACAGAGAGGAATTTTCAAGCACAAAACACGCAAACTCACCCCTAACTTTCTCCCGTTTGCCCTCGTGGCTGTTAACACGTGACGGATTTGCCGGCGATGGGGAGAAAAGCCGGGCGTTTGGCCGGCAAAGCAAAATCGTGCCGGGAGCTGCAGCGGCATCAACGCAACTCAATTAGCAGTCACCGTTGTTGCGAAAGTCGGCGTGGGACAACGAGTCATTGGCTCGGGACGCTTGGGGCTTGGACTGCATCCTGTCAGAGCTCCCTCTAGTGGAAAATCATTGAAAGCACGTCATTCTGCGAGACACAAATTTCATCTATGCTGCATGTCATACATAAAGCATATTTGACAATAAAGATGACCTTGACACTTGGCAGCATTGACCGTTCCATGAAAAATTCGGATTCCATCAGCATTTCGTCCGCAGAACTCCAGCAGATTGCGAATTATTGATTTCTTTATTTTGCATCTAACGTCGACCGCTAAAATTGCCTGACCGACCCTTAAAGATGGCAGGCACAAGATGGCGGTGTAAAAAGCGCTTTATTGAAGGACATCACATGACTCTGACCCGAAAACACAAACGTGAGCCAAAAGTGATGTCTGAGACAAAAAGGTTGGCTCATAGAAGCAGCGGAGTGTCTGCGTGCTGTGAGAGGAATGGGCGTGGCCTGGTCCAAAAGCTAGCTGATAGGAATCAGGTGCTAATTAGCACGTGTGCGTTAACTTAGCATCAACATTCATGGCGTCCCATCAGAAAGTCAAGCCGACGCGTGACGGCAACTGAGGGGAATTTGACATTCATCGAGTCAAAGGACACAAAAGTAGGGATGCACCGATATCCCTTCTTGGGGAGGGCGAAGATGACAACCGCTATTTGTCCTCGAATTTAGTGCGCGGTGAGAGCAAATTGCCGTCACATTACGTGTCGCAACAGTGACAAAGATGCACTTCATGAATCAACGCACCGCCATCATATTGCGACGGTCGGAGGCTAAACGCTTGAAGCTAAATGAAAAGCTCATTGAAAAAGGTTTGCTACTCGGCTTTTCAAATGGTCCACATCAAAAGACAAAAACGCATCCGTTCTCTGCGGCGCTAGCGGACTTTTCAAAGACAGAAATGAAATACGTGCCACAGCGCATGCTCCAAGCAGGCGGAATATAAGACGGCGGCTTGGTCAAGCAGTATGGTTGTCGCGGTACCGGCGCAGACGTATGGCTATCGGTGCATCCCGACGCCAAAGTACGTGCGGTGTGCGGACTTGTGCGGTTGAAGCAGAAGGACCTTTTTCAGGTGTCCTTTGGGCCGCTTGTCGAGGATGTTCTCAAGTGGCAGCAAAGCAAACAAGTGGAGCATGGACACCACACGTGACATGTCGCGTGAGGACACAGCGGCAAGCTGGATGGCCCAAACGTGACAACCAAACAGCATTTCACCGATGCACCCTTCAAAAAAGTCCTTTCCTTTTTTTCTTTCGTCTGATCTTGTGTGGAGGAACCCCCCCCCCCCCACCCCTTTCTCAGCAGGGGAGTGGCAGACGAAAGTCCAGGCACCGCTCACAACTGACTCAAGTGTTGCCAAGCAGTGTGTGTGCAGCATTCTTTTGTTTGCAAACCAGTGGATGCAGGCCAGTGGAAAACAAAAGAATTTCTCACAATGACACACACCCACACACACACGTGAGTGGCGACTTCCAGCAAGTAGAAAGGGGGAATTGCCAATGGTGTTGTCGTTCATTCTCCATGATGACGACCCCCCCCCCCCAAAAAAGTCCCAAAGTCAGCATCAATCAGCACATGGGGAATCAAAATGGCTGCCAACCCCACCCATGAAAGCAAGACAACCTGAGAGAAGGCGTTAGCGCGCGTTAGCCGCACCAGCTAAGCGTAGCAATCGTTGTGGGGACGCGCCTCCTGTCAATCATCCTTTGGCGAGCGGAGACAGGGAGGAGGGGATGATCGCAACACGGCGTCCTTCTCGACGTGTCCGGCGGGAGATGAAAAAGACCAACGTTGTCATTCGCACCTGAAAAACAAGACCAAAGAGTAAAAAACATTGATCGACGCGAAAAGTGTTTTGAGGAGTGGCAAGTGAGTGACGCTTGCAAATAGAAGTGACGATGCCGATGAGTGTGACATCTCGTTTTCAGGCGCGAGTCAAAGTGACGCTTTCAGGGCTTGGGCACCACAGAGGAGGGGGTGGGGGGGGGCGCTATTTTGGGCACAAACGCTGATCGGCTCTGCGTGAGCGTGCACAAAGTGGAGCGACGCGATCCAAGTATGAAAAATCACATCCCACGCGCCCAGCCGAGGCTAAGCAAATCACTAAAATAGCACACATGGTCCCGAAACACAGCCAGATCATTGATTAAGAAATAACTTTCAAAGAAATGCATCAAAATGTCGCCGATGATTGGATTGGGACAAAGTGCAAGCAGGCGTGCTATGGCGACCATGACGCACGCCGCTGCTAACTTGGCACCTGACAAGGAGCGGGTTGTGCTAAGGGTTCTGCCAGAAAGAGAGCAATTTTTGGGCCAACGGTTGTTTCGGGTGTGCAGGAAAAACAACAACAACAAAAAAAAAAAAAAAAAGGGAGAATTTTCGAAATGGGTGATTGGCTAAAAGGCGGGGCTTCGCCTGGTCAGCGTGTGAAAAGTAGCGCGGGGGCGCGGATAACGTAGTACCTGCCAGCGAGGCGGTCTTGCAGCTCGGCATGCGGCGCCCAGCCCGGCTCCGCCTCCAGACGCTCGGCGCCGCCTTCCCGGCAGCGCTCGCCGGGGCTCGACGCGGCACTTTTCTCCGGGGGCCCCGCGCCTCCGCCACGATGGAAAAGTTGCGCATGCGGTGTGGAACGGCGGTCGCAGAACCAGCGCGCCACATCCACACCGGCCAATCCGGGCCAAACCTCCGACAGAGTGGCGACCCCTTCGGTTTGAGCAAAACGCTCCTTCAGAAGCGCCGGCGAGTGGGAACTTTGAACGGAGCGGGGCGGCGGCCCGGAGCCACTTTTGCCACCCGGCGCGCTCAAGCTCGGCTGGTGAATCCCATTAAGGGGCGGAGTTGCGTCTTTATCGGCCTCGGTCTTCTTTGCTCCCATCGAGTTGAGGAGGGCCAGTTCCAAGTTATCCCGCAGGGCCCGGCGCTCCGCAAACCAGCCGTCGATTTCCCGACGGGACAGACCGGCGGCGAGGGCCAGCCGGTCCACGTCGCTTTGCGAGAGAAAGCCGTTCCTCAGGAAATGCTCTTCCAGGATCTTCAGCTGCTCCGCCGTCTTGCCCCGCATCCTTTCCAGCAGCGGGAACTGCGTGAGCGTCGGGGAGCGCCGCTGCGAATCGACAACCGGAAGCTCGCCGCCCTCCGCCATCCCGAGCGCCACCTCCTCAGAGGGCGTCCCACCCATGCCGTCGGCGGCCGCGTGCAAAGCGCCCGCCTCGCCGGCGCTGCGCTCTTCTTCTCGTGCAATGCCGGCGGGGACCTTGGCCGGAGCGGGTGCTGGCCGGATGACGGCGGGCCTCCTGACCGCAGGGCTGACGGGCGAAGGCAAATCGGGGAAGGTCACATTAGCGGCCGGCAGAGGGCTACAAAGCTTCTCTTTGGAAAGTCGGGGCAGAAGTAATGAGCTTTTAAACGGCGGGGCAAAGACGGGGGGCGGCGCGATGGTCGGCCTCGTTAAGGACTCGGGAAAGACCATGGAGGGCAGCGAGACCACCGGTTTGGTTTTGGGGTTTCCTAGCAAAGAGGGAAGCTTCCCCTTGGCGCACGACAACGACGAGGACGAGGCCACTACAGGCACAACGGCGGGCGACTTCATCTCCGTTGCGAAAGGGGGAACTCCTCCCGGTGCGGCCGAGGAACGGCACTCCGGTTGAGAGGGAGCGTTGGGCGCCTTGTCTTTGGGGTCTCCTTGACTGGGGGCCACCGCCATGACGGCTCGCTTGGACTCAGGACCGCCGTGAGCCACCAGGGATCGTTTCGGCGCGTGAGCGGGGCCCGCGGAGACTCCGGCAGCCGGGTTTGGAGCTGATGCGACACTTTGGAAGCGATGCTCGGCGGGGGTCGGCCGGGTCGCGAGCGTGTGATGGGCCGCCGGTACGGAACCGTTGAACATCTTCTTCCTGGCCTCCTCCACCTCCTCCGGGGACCACGTGATTCCGTGCTTGAGTCGCTGGGTGGTGAACCAAACTTTGATTTGCTCCTCCGGGTGCTTGGAAGCGGCCGTCAGCCAGGACAGCTCGGAGTGCGTCGGGTAGGGGAACTTGTGGAAGGAGGCCATCAGAGTCGGGTTGTGGTCCAAGGACGGGTTATATTTGCTGCTGTTCAGAGGAACGGCTATTTTGGGTTGGCAGTGGTAGTTGGGCGGGCGCCGGAGCACAGGGGTGACGTGGGACGGGTCTTGGAGAACGGAGGGCTCGGGAATGATGACGGTGCCGTTGATGTTGAGCGCGGCGATCCGATCCTGCCGCTCTGAGCCTCGGCCGCCGCCACAGAGACCCTCGATGGGGTCGGGCGACTTCGCCGCAGTAAAGAAGCAAGGCGGGAATGCCGAAGCCTCACGTGCGCCGCGTTCTTCGGGACCGGGACGGCCCTGCGATCGGATCGTCTGCTCCAAGACGGTCCGGTTGTTCCTCTCGATCCTCTTGAATTTGAAGTTGCTCTCGTGGGGGTGAAGGCTCTCGTTGTGCTCTGTGAGAAGCTCAAACTTTTTGGCGTCAAAGTCGCAGGCAGCGCAGCGGTACAGCGGATTGAGAATCACGTTGGGGTGGCTGGAGTCCACGTGCTCTTTCAAGTCTGTCAGGTTCGGACAGCGGAACGGGCAACACTTGCACTCGTAGCCTTTGGACTCCTTCTGCTGAGCCTCGCGCTCAGAGGGCGCCACGTCCTTTCCCCGCTCGCCTCGTTCGCTTGACCGCTCTTCCTCCAATGGCTCAGGGCGGAGGTTTTCCTGGTCCGGACGATGGGCATTCTGCGGGCCATCGCTGTTCGCGTCAGGCTCGGTTCCGTCCGTCGGACTGTCCTGCCACAACATTTCCACGTCGAAAATGTCCACGTCCGGCACCGCCTCGGGCTCACTCGGTCCGAGCAATTGGACCACGCAGGGGGCGGAGGACTTTCTGCGAGCGGGCATAGCGACCTTCAGGGCGATGACCAGGAGGGACCGGCGTCGGCGAGGCGCGCCGCTCGAGCGCTTCTCATGGACTGCGACGGCCGGGCCGGGGAGGGTCCCGAGTGCGACAAAGAGGGCGGGGGCGGTCGAGCGGCGGCCCGGGCCCCGCTTCGCATTGGCGCCGGCCGTGGAATGTCAGCTGACCGGGGCTTTTCCGGGGGCTCGTTGCAGACCTGGCCGAGAGAAAGAGACAGAGAGAGAGAGAGCGCGTCAATGCAGGGGAAGCCATTTTGGCGAGGCCAACGAGACCAACCTCGTCCTTCCTCCAGTTTACCGCCCCGCTTTCTCCTCGCCCTGCCCATCGGACCCCAACGGAACTCTTCCCGTCGCAACGCTGCTTGCCGTTGCGGTCGCTGCCGCCGACTCTCCAGCTAAAACGCAAACGGTTTTGAAGAGTGCAAACTAGGCAGAGAGGCAAAAAAAAAAAGACCTCCAAGAGAGGCAACCTGAAGTCCATCGAGCCCGTCAGCGTCACACAGCTGCGCCGGGTAGGAAAGAAGCTCCAAGTGGGTGAGTGGGGGGGGGGCTGTCAGCCAGGGGGACGCTTTGAAGAGGAAGATGAGAAGAGGGCGAGATGACGAGCCTTCAAGCATCCCAAAAAACACCCTTTGATCATTCCCTTAATGAACTTCCTTGCCATTCGTTTGCATGACTTCACACGCTCAAGCACCATGAAGAACGCGCGCGCGTGTTGTTATCCGGGACTGAGGGGGGTACATTGTGTTGCTGTTGCCGTGGCAACAGTAGCAGAGACACCATTTGCCCTTGCCGCACCGCAGAACGTGAAGCGACAGGCGCGGGGAAAAGCGATCGGGCCTCACCAAGCAGGAAGTGACCACCGAGAAAAAAATGAGCGGACCTCCTGCGCTTGCATTGCGCTCCTCGCCGTTTCCCTTGGTCGGCTTGTCGTTGCGGTTTTTTGCACTTCCGACTGGATTCGGACAAAGACGCGAGTAATAATAAGAAGAATACATTTGATTTATAAGCACCTTTCAAAACACTCAAGGACACTTTACAATCAGGAACAAGAAAACCACAGATAAAATTATCAACAATAAGAGATGAATTTAAACTGAGTATGCGTATTTTGAATTGGTGGCACACGCAGGCTGCCTGGGCCGTGAGCAAACACAACGAGGCGTGCGCGCGCGCGGCAGCCGCCATCCCGTGAGGTCTGAGGACAGATTGTCGCTTCTTTTTCGATTCCTGGCTCCCTCGGGGCACTTTTGGTGAAACGGGTTTATCTGGAAACTGCGCCAGTTCACCAACAGCGGGCCGATTGTGCTCAATGGGCAGTCACATGATGTTTGTTTGGTTGGAGGGGGCGTGGCCAAGGCAGCCGCCAGTTGGACCGCAGCTCCCGGCGAGAAGTCGCGTTTGCGTGTCGATCGTCTGTTGGCGAGCATTTCGAGACCCGGCAAAAGAGGGCTTCTGTCAGAGCCTCAGCACCCGTTCACCGTGACAAAGAGCAAACTTTGGCTCAAGCTTCTTCGGTTCGGCGCTAATCCGCAGCAGACCGTTCGCCGGTTTCAGCCAGAAGGCCACTTTCTGAGTCAAAAGTGGAGAAAAGCATCTTTTTCGGGAAGAGAAAGGGGGCGCGCAGAGTGGCGACTCGGGACGCTGCTGTTTTGCCACACCCCAAAGTACGAAACCACAAAATTAAGATGACAAACATCATCCTTTATCGACATGGAAGCAACTGACAACGACTCACCGCGCGGCTCCAGAAACCGCAAGAACAGAAACAACAAAGTGCAAAGGTTGCGGCCTCAGCATCAAATGCGATTCGAGTGGCCGCCGCGTCCCGTTCTGATGGGGTGACGAACAAGTGCCCCAAAACTAACAAAAGGACCACCCTTGGTCTACGTCGGAGGCGAGCCGCGCCTTTCCCGACATGGATGATGTTCCTGCGGCGCTCAAGTCCAAGAAGACAATCAGTTACCTGCACCACAGCGAAGCATTTCAAAAATCACATGAAAAAAAAAGGGGGGGGGGCAATCACACAACTTATCCCAAAGACAAAATGACAGCCCGGGCGCAACACAGCGCACGCACAAAGATTTACTCTGACACAAACAAAAAATATATATATACGAACGAACTAACACAAACACACAAACAAAAAGCGCAAACACACACACACACACACACACACACACACACACAGACAAAAAGCGCACACAATACACGAAGATGTACTCGGACACATCGAAAGACGCGTTCACACGTACACACTCGCAGTGAGGTTACCTCGGATGACCCCGGCGTCTGATGCTAGCTTAGCGTCGTCAAACGCTGACTTTCAGGAGGGGGAGGCGGCGGCGGCGGCGGCGGACGACAAGCACTCGAGCGAGCCCGCAAACTCGGCCGGGCAAGACAACCCGAGCAGAACCGGAGCGGCTCGGGCAAGCTAAACAAGTTAGCCTTCTCTTCAGCCAGAAGCTAGCCGGCTAACGGCTAACATTCGGGATGCACTTTCACTAGACCAGCTGGGGTGGAAAGGGGGGGGGGGCGTCCAAAGTTGCCCCCCGAGTCGAGGAAAGGCGGCGGCGGAGCTCGCGACGGCGTGACGACACAACTCTCGCCCCACTCCTGACACTTTCGGCTCCGTCGTCGAGCCAAGCCGAACCGAACCGAACCTAGCCTGCGGTCGAACGGCGGCCGCGCTTCAAAGTTGACTTTTGCGACTACCACTTGGTTCAAATAGACCCGAACAGAGGAGCGACAAGTTGCCCAAGTGTCCGTCTTGCTTCTTACCTGGCGGTGTGGCGTCAACGAGCCGTCAAGCAGTCTCGCTTGTCGCAGCAAACATCCAATTGGCGAGAGGGCGCGCTCGCGCGCACGCACACTCAGTAAGGGGGGGGGGGGACTGCTCGCGCAGCACCACAGACCATGGGCCGTCCTACGTCATCGCTCATTAGCATTTGTGCAAATTTGATGTCCTCGCCCTCAACCCGTGCAGATATCACTGGGACGCGGAGGTCGTGACGTCACGTGAGGTCTACGGCCGGATAAACGGCTCCCCTCCTGTCGCGTCGACTTCTGGACCCATCGTGATGGAGTGATGACGCGGCGTGGAGCGGGGCGACACCTGCACGTCACTGCAGGAAATACACGTGCTGCGTACTCCCCTGGCCTTCGACCCCGGGACGTGATGACGACACTAGCGAGGGTACATATTTTTAACATTCCTTTTTGGGGGGGTCGCCTTTCAAGTTTTTGCTGCTGAAAATTATGTTTCTTTTTTTCACTGTAGCGCATGTGTGCTCGTGTGGGCGCGGTCTCCAGAGGACCGGGGTCAGATGAGGTTGCCAGGCAGCGGGCACCAGCCAATAGGGGAAGAGCTTGGCCAACGCTGCTTGGCAACCGAGGAGGAAAAAAAAAAAGTGCGGCTGCCTGAAAGGAGGCACCGGGGTGAAGACATGATGCGGTGGTCATCACAAAGATTTAAAAAAATGAACACAGGAAGTAATTAGAACATAAACAAGTGCGCATGAAAACAAGTGGGAACAATCTAAAGAGGCGAGGACCTTTCAAGATGAGATGAAAAGATGCAGACATGAATGGCACAGCAATGAAGAAATGAATAATACACGAGGAGATGACGACATGAAAAGTGGGTGAAAAAACGAGGAGGCAACAAGAGGAATACAAGTGGCGACATGAAGAGGTCGGTCCAAGGACGGAGAAGGAAACCTTCAAGTATGAAGACATGAAAAGATGTGGATGATGAAGTTGCGAAGACATGAATGGTGACGAACGGAAGAGCTTCTTTCACACGGTTCTTGGGGTCTCACAGCGGTGAGCCAGGATGATGTTTGCACACGCACGCGAGCGTCACGCGAGCGTCACTCTTGACCGTCCTGTCACGACACATCAGACTTTGACTGTACTGTAAATCTTTTATTGTGTTGACAAACTGGACAGGAAGTCGTCCAAATAAATTACTTTTGCTGCTACAAGCTCAATCAAACACTTGCTGGATGTCAAGCGCCATCACGTGCCCCTTTCTGAGCGGCCAACATTTTTATGGACGGCGGCCGGTCAGATGCAGAGCTGGGGCCACATCTGCCCATGAGCTCCGCCTACCGGGGGCGATGGGGGGTAGAGGGGGGAGGGGGGCAACTTCCTGAGCTCCTGAAATGCTGTTGAATGAGAAGCATGTACAGAGATTATATGTGTTAGCTACGCTCCATCCGCGGACTCTCCGCCTCACTCTGACCCTTCAGTGACATCACTTCCTGACGCTTCCTCTCCTCAGCCTCCTATCCGGCCCCGCCCCCTCATCCTGGGGGCTCAGCTCCAGTACTGAGCGGTCCGGGTCAAGCTCCGCGTCCTGGACGGGCCGCGGCGGCGGGTAGTCGGGCTGGTAGTAGCGGTACGGGTCGTCCTCCTCCACCTCGCCATAGTTGGGGAAGATGTTGGACGGCAGTTGGACTGCGGGAACAGCAATGCCGACACTCAACTCAGCCCGTCAATCGGCGCTGCGTCTTAGCGACACGTCCGAGTGAGTGTCAGCCCCGAACACAGACATCGCCGACCCTCGAATAGGTCTCAATTGGGTTAGCGGGACAGGAAGAGGCTGACGAGAGCTTGGAAAAAGAATGCAGCCGCTCCCAAACGCAAAGCACCTAAAACTACTCCCGGTGGGCGCCCATCACGTCGTACCTCCGACGTTGTAGCCCACGCAGGAGTTCTGGTCACAGTAACCGGGAGGCCCGGCAGAGCCCACCGGGCCGGGAACCCCGGGACGTCCCGGGACCCCTGAGTTCCCGGGTCTTCCGGTCGGGCCCTGGCTGCCTGGTCTGCCTTGGCCCGGGGGACCTGCGGCGAGATGGCGTGACGTGAGGACACGACCTCTTCGCGAGGAGGATGAAGATCACAAGGGGCTTACCAGGAGGTCCCGGCGGTCCTCTGGGGCCTTGAACCCCCACACCAGGAGAGCCCTTTTCTCCTCTCTCCCCTGGGGGACCTGCGCACACCACGTGCACACCAGGGACGCACACATTAGTTGCCAAGATTCCAGTCGGGGGTTGCCAGTTCATCCGCTCGGGGCAGCGCACCTTGTTCTCCAGGTTGGCCATTCAGGCCATTTTGTCCAGGGAAACCGGGCCTTCCAGAGGGGCCCTGTTCCCCTTGCGGCCCTGGGGATCCATTTCGACCGGGCTCTCCAGGAGGTCCCGGGACGGTGCGGATGGTCACGGACGAGCTCGGCGCGTGGTTCAGGATGGCGTTGAACTGAGCCATGTGACCTGCAACCAGCGTGGCGCCGGTTAGCTTTGGAGAAGTGGGCGTCCGTGGCACCTTTTCCGACGGCTAGCCTGCCACGCTACCATACTCACTCTGGATGAGCTGCTCACACACCTGCCTGGCGATGGTCTGGACTGTGGCTGCCGACTGCAGGTCGCCCTGGCAATGCCAAACCACAAAGTCACTTCAGAGGAGGAGACCAAAAATGGCAGCGGGTTGGAAAGAAGATGCCATACCCGTTCACCTTTGTCACCCTTGGTTCCTGGAGGACCCTGCGGCGAGAAGGAAAACAGTGACAGCGGAAAGAAAACACTCTCGATCTGCCCAGATGGATGACGATCAGTCGGAATGTTGATAAGATTCTTCAATTGGCTGACTGCAGTTGGGCAGCAGAAAGGAGCTGGGGGCGGACGGCTGGGAAGCATCCTCTGCTATTTGGAGTTTCTTCTTGTGGGGCCATGGCACAAGGAGCTAATGTGTCTCTGGATCACAACGTTCTCAGTTTGACACCGGGACAGTTGGGAGCGCCTTTTGAACTTTGTTGGCCTCAGAGTCTGATTCTCACTTGGAGTGGTCCCCGATTCAAATCCCCGACCAGCCCTTTCCTTCACGTCCGGCTAGTTCAGTCGGTAGAGCTTGCTGCGAGTAGCCTCGTTGTGGCTGTGTTTAACGTGGTTCACTACTGTGATGGGTTAAAATGTGAGGGCGGATTAAACAAACCCCGTACGCATGTGGTGACGACAAGAAAGATACTTCTTCTTCTGAGAAGAAGTCCCGGAATGTTGGGCCGGACAGGACAGGAGGTCCGCCACCAGCAACCTCCTGCACTTCCTGTCTCCCTGGCAAATTTGGTCAGAGGCATGATGGCTAAATGGCTGTCTGATGTTCAGCGGTTGGACTCACCGGCGGCCCAAGGTCACCCTGTTTTCCTGGGGGTCCCGTGGTACCGGGGGCCCCCGGAGCTCCTGGACTTCCCTGCGGATGAGAGGAAAATCAAGGTTCAATGTCGGGGCCCCTGGTGTTTTCGCCACCCTGCGGTTCCATCTTCAGAAAGCCTGGTATTTCCTTTCACTGCTCCGCGGGTAAGGCCCGTCCTTCTCAGCAAAAAGGACGCTTTCTCCTTCGGGCCTTTCTGGAGCAAATCAAAGCCTGAATGGGACCGAGCCTCTTGAACGTCAACAAAAAGAAAACAGTTATGGCGTTTGAGAACAGTTTGGGACTTGCGCATCTCACCCTGTTAACTTGCCCACCCACCTCACCCAGGTGTCTTCGCTCAAGCCAAAGACTTGGGTTTTAAATTGGACAGTGATTTGAAACTGGACTGGGAATCGATTTTTTTTTTTTCCCCCCTTCATCTCAGGCAGGTGACTCGAGTAAAGCCCCTCCTTTGTTCATTTGAACATTGTTTGAATGGTTTTCAATTCTTGAAAGGGTCTCTTCCCCACCTGACCTCTCTGAGCACCTGCCCGTTGCCTCGGGTCAGCGGAGGTACCCAAGACTAAACAGAGGCTCCGAGGGGATGGAGCCTTTTCCATTGCCGGTCCCCCTCTTTTGGAATGACCTCCCGTTGAACTTGAGGCAACCCACCTCCAACCCTGTCCAGCTTGAAAACACATTTTTATTCTTTGGCTTTCAACTCAGCCTGAGCCTTGGCATTGTTCTGGTGTTGTTACGAATTTGCTTCACCGGCTTAGTTTTTAGATGTCGGATTTTTACTTTGGTTGTCCTTAAAGTGCTCACAGACTGAAGTTGAGTTGAGAAAAGCCCGCAGACGGCGAGGCAATCCCACAAAGCACGTGCTGGGAACGTCGTCGATGTCACAACACAAGAATCACCGCAGTACAACTTTGCGTCATTCGTAACCACTTACGATAGTTCCGGAGGGGCCCGATTGGCCGGGGGGACCGTCTTTGCCCAATAGCCCCTGCAGATGAGAAAAAAAATTGCGGTGTGTGTGTGTGAGTCACAACAAAGCGCGGTGACGAGAGAGAGTGCAAGGCGACTCACTCTGGGGCCGGGAAGTCCTTCTCTGCCTGGAGCGCCCACTCGTCCGGCCACCCCCTGAAATAGAGGTCACTCCCGGTCACTTAAATCACAAGCACACATTAAGACGTGTTTCATGACACTCACGTGCACCTGAGTGCGTGCACGTTGCTAGCATTTACCTGCAGACCTTGTTGACCTGACTCTCCTTTCTGTCCTTGCTCACCCGGAGCACCCTGCACGTGAAAACAGGCATGAAGATACATATAACGTACACCAGAAGACACACACATGCAGATGCACATGAGGGCCATGTACACACGGGAGGATTTTTCATGTTTTGACACCTTTTTTTTTTTTTTTTAAATCGCTGGCAGACCCCACACAGAGATTAAAGAACAAGCCTTGAATGGACTTGGTGGGCTTGTGCAGGGGATGCTCCGATAATCACACACACACACACACACACACACACACACACACACACACACACACACACACACAAAGATTTTCTTCCACTTCCAATGGCAGAAATGTTGCGCCATCTCACGTGATCTTTCAAAACCAAAAAAGAAGAGAACCTCCCGGTTGGATGTCACCACAGTGTTTGCGTTGAGGACCAGAGGTGGACTGACTTTGAAAAATACTTTTTACTAGACGCCCAAAAAAAAAAACAAACAAACAAAAAAAAAAAAAAACCAGACGTCAGGTAGGACATATTTTGCATCATTTACTGATGCTTGCTTGTGTCGGGGCACTTTTTCGATGAGTGACACTGCGTTCGCGTCACAGTCCACGGAGTGTTATGAAGAAACGTGCATGCAAGATCATAATGCGGACATATTCACTCTTAACACGCTGCAGACACAACGATCATCTAAAGCACAGGCGTCAAAGTCAAGGCCCCCAACGTCATTTTATGTGGCCCGCGGGAGCAAATCATGTGTGTCAACTATCATGATTCTTGTTGAAATCTGTACTGAAATGTCAAATTGTCATGGGTAATAAATAACGTTGCGATTTTGCACCGGCACTCCGAGGGAAGCCGTAACTCCGAAGTGGCCTGCGACAAAAAAATGAGTTTGACACCCCTGATCTAAACGGACAATTTGACGTCGCCCATTTGATGCCCTTGGTTTGGGAAGGGGCAAAGGGTTGTTGATGGCCTAACAAGCATTTGAAATGCACGTGACTGCACGCATGCAAAGATGCTGGGGGTCTTACTGGGGCACCCCTGATGGAGCGTCCGCTGGGCCCTATTGGTCCTGGGGCCCCCTGGGCTCCTGGTACTCCGGGCTCGCCGACCGGTCCAGCCGGCCCCTGGGGGAAGGGTTGACGTCATGTCGTGCAGAGATTGGCTCACAGGGTCCCAATCAAGAACTGGACCTGAAATCCCATTCGGACCAGCACTCACCACTGAACCGGGTGCTCCACGATCACCACGGGCTCCTCGTATTCCCGGCCCACCAGGAGGTCCAGCTGGACCTGCGGGGCCTTTGCTGTCCTGGGTGCAGGTGCAGGCCTTGGGCATGGCAGGACACTGGGCCTCGTTGCGCTTTGGTGGTCACGCGATAAAGATGCGGTGGCGTCGGCATGATGAAGAGGGAGGCACGGCCGTTAGATCACTTAGCATATGGCCCCGGAAGTGTACGGAGGACTAACCAAACCAGGAAGTTCACAGCACAGATCTCTGGAGGCCCACGAGGTGCTGCACACAATGTCGA